AAACGGGGGTGATATATACCACCATCTCGTAGGCCACATGAATCGAAAAACTGCTGCAGCATAGGCGCTGGCAAACCTACGATAGCGTTCCATACCTCATAAGGAATCGTTCAAAACTCAAACACTTCCACATCTTAAAAAAGGAATCTTTTCAGGCCCTGTACACCGTGTACGTCGGGCCCTATTTTGAGGTATGCACACCCATTTTGGAATCCACACCTGGTCAAGCACCAAAGAAATTAGAAAAAATGCAAAATTTTGCAAAAAGACAGCCCCAGAGCAAAGGGGATTTCCTACGAGGAAATTTTAAGGGAAATTGGCCAACGACACTGGAGGAGGGGAGGGTCGGGGAAAAAAGATAACGATTATACAATCCCATGCAAATAGACAATGGGCAAAATTGGGAAGTTGAAGACTCAGATAGTCAAAAGGGGTTTAGGAAGTTTTTTCTTCAGTAAAGAGTTGTCAGCAGCGGAATAGCTTAAAAGTGAGGTAGTGGGGCAGGAACCTTACATTTTTTTAAAAGAAAAGGTTTGATAAAGCTGGGGGGCAATAGAGGACCCAGTAGCATTAGTGAAGAGGCGGGGCCAGGAGCTTGACTCCCCCCTTTGGGAAACCCCACAAATGGGTGATACACATACACTCAACAGAATTTAAGATGTTTTTACGTGGAACAGGACTACGGAAAGTCAGAACAGGGGGGTAAACCTACAGGGATATCCCAAACATTTTGGAGAAAATACAACGAGGAAGTAAGAAATGCTAATATTTTTTGATACCTAAAAGGGGTTTTACGGGGCCCTCTTTTTTCCCGGGGGTCCTTTTTGAGAGCGAGCAGAGATGCTGTGTGTCCACTAACACAATTTTCAACTCATTCATTGAAAATGGGAACAACCGAGGTATGGAAAGGGCAAATTTCCCCCCCTTTTTTAGAAAGGGAGATAGGCAAAAGTCAGTAAACATATACCAATGTCACTGAAGTGTATATATGACAAATCAGGGAGAATTTTACGGGAGAGGGTGGAACACCTAAAAAACCAACAAGTTTTAAAACGTCAACCGCTTGGAATTCAGGGAAGAAAAATCCTGAGTCACTAAACGTATTTTTTTATGACAAGATAAAAAAACCCGAGAAAGGGGGGTCAGTCCTAGGCCCAGTGCTATTTTTGGATATGTGAAAGACTTAGGGAAAGGGGATAGACTCAAAGTGCCTTTTTTGCAATTGAAGTTAATAGGAAATTAAATGGGATGAGACAGGCGGGGACTACAAAGAAAACCTGGAGGGGTTTTTGGACACCGGGCCCCACAACTGGCTCCTTGTTTAAAACCCCTTTCAGATTCAAAGTCATAAAGACGGTGAAGGTAAAAAGACCGCAGATATAGGCTAGGTCCCAAAAGACGGCTCTCACCCAAAAAAAAGGATCTTGGGGTAATTATACTCTGGTTTTCTTTGCCTTCCCCCGATCTTCATAATTTTTGCATTTAGCTGGGTTAAATTCGAGGGGCCTTTTCTGGACCTAATTTTCAACCTTCCGGTCCTTGTAGTCCCTTTTTCCCATCCATTTAATTTTCCTCATTAAAAATTCACATCATCTGCCAACAAGGCACTTCAGTCTATCCCTTTTGTCATGCCCTTCACATAACCAAAAATACACGGGCCTGGGCTGACCCTTCACTCTCGGCCCTACTCGTTTTCCCTTGTGAAAAATCCAGTAGATTTGGACCCCCAAAATTTTTTCCTTTTATGAATCCGGTGGTTTTCTTTTATATACTTGTTCCATTCTAAGTGGGTCCACCATCTTTTCTTTTCCCGATAATATTTTTTTCCCTGACTTTACGTACTATACACCCAGTACACTGGGCTATGTTTTGTGTCTTGTGTCTGTTCTCCTTTCTTAAAAATAAGGACCCCATTTGCCATCTCCATACCCAGGTAGTTGCCCAGTTTTCAATAAAGTGTTGAAAATTTTTGTTGGGGCACACACAGCCTCTCTGCCCCTCTCTAAAGACCAAGAGAGAGTCCGGTCCTGCCGCCTTTGATTCAAGATCACTTTGCAGCTTCTTCACCTCCTCCTTTGTATTTCATCCAACCTTTTCGGTTTTATCCCTTTTTGGTTACACCCCCCCGTTTTTTGGGTTTCCCGAGTCCTTTTTGCTCCACTGTAAAAACTTCCAAAATCTATTTACTGGTTTGTTTTGTTTTGTGTACTCACCTAATTGTGGTTGCAGGTGTCGAGACTCGGCTCCTGGCCCCGCCTGTTCACTGACCACTACTGTTTCTGTGTCCCCTCTCTAGAGCATCCTGTCCTTGTCCACCTTATCTATTCCACGCAGTATTTTGCATGTTGTCATCCTGTCACCCCTGATCCCCCTGTCCTCCAGTGTCGTCAGAATGATTTTCCTTAACCTTTCTTCGTAGGACATTCCTCTTAGCTCTGGAACCAGCCTTGTTGCAAACCTGCGTACTCCAGTATGGGCCTGACGTACACAGTGTATAGTGTTTTGAACGATTCCTTACTGAGGTATTGGAACGTTATTCTCAGGTTTCTCAGGCGCCCATATACCGCAACAGTTATTTGGTTAATGTGGGCTCGGTGTTATGCTCACCCCTAGGTCTTTCTCCTTGAGTGAGGCTTGCAGTCTTCGGCCGCCTAGCCTATACTCTGTCGGTGGTCTTCTTTGCCCTTACCCGATCTTCATGATCGGGGAAGGTTAAATTCTAGGAGCCAGTTACTCAACCACGTGTCCAGCCTGTGTAGGTCTCTTCGTAGACCTGTCTGGTGTGCATCTTATTCAATTCTCATTAACTTCACATTGGCAAATATGGACACTTCTGAATCTATCCTTTCCGTCATGTCATTCACATATACCAAGAATGGCACTGGTCCTAGGACTGAATCCTGTGGGACCCCGCTCATCATAGGCACCCACTGTGATACCTCATCATGTACAATGACTCGTTGTTACCTCCTTGTCAGGTATTCTCTGATCCATTGCAGTGCCCTTCCTGTTATACGTGCCTGATCCTCTAGCTTCTGCACTAATCTCTTGTGAGGAACTATGTCGAAGGCCTTCTGGCAGTCCAATAAAATGCAATCGACCCACCCCTCCCTCTCATGTCTTACTTCAGTTACCTTGTCATAAAACTCCAATAGATTTGTGACACAGGATATGCCTTCCATGAATCCGTGCTGGTTGTCGTTTTTAACCTTGTTCCATTCCAGGTGCTCCACCACTCTCATGATAATATTCTCCCTGACTTTGCATACTATACACGTCAGTGACACTTGTCTATAGTTTAGTCTGCGTGTGTTTTACTCACCTAATTTTGGTTGGAGAAGTCGATTCATAGCTCCTGGCCCTACCCCTTCAATGGTCGCTACTAGGTTCTCTTTCCCTGTTTCATGAACTTCATCGTGCCTCATCTTAAAACTATGTATGGATCCTGTATCCACTACTTTACTTTGCAGACTATTTCACCTCCTGACAACTCTAAAGAAATGCTTCCAAGCCTTCCTCTGACTCGTCTGTATCTTCAACTTGTTGCTGTATTCCATCTCGAGAACATCCTGCTCTTATCCTTGACAGTTCCTCGCAGTATTTTGTGTGTCGTTATCATGTACCCCCCTATCCCTCCTGTCCTCCAATGTCATCAGGTCGATTTCCTTTAACCTTCGTAGGACATTACCCTTTGCTACGGAACTAATCTTGTTTCAAACCCTTGCACATTCTCTAATTTCTTGACGTGCTTGAGCACGTGTGGGTTCCAAACTGGTGCTGCATACTGCAATATGTTCCTGACGTACACGATGTACAGTCTTGAACGACCGCTTACTAAGGTTTGGGAATGCTATTTTTAGGTTTGACAGGCGCTCATATGCTTTATTTGGTTGATGTGCTTCTCAGGGTATTTTGAGAGAGAGAGAGAGAGAGAGAGAGAGAGAGAGAGAGAGAGAGAGAGAGAGGAGAGAGAGAGAGAGAGAGAGAGAGAGAAAGAGAGAAAGAGAGAAAGAGAGAGAGAATGAAAATGAATGAGAGAATGACGTTTACATATTTTGAGGAGTTTTTGTCATTACTCAAACTCTGATGTAAACAATATCCCTCGTGCCCTTGTGCTACCACAGGTATTTGATATTTGAAAAAAAACGAGATATATAAGCCTCCCCAGTGACAGAAGCACTGTAGGGGGGAGGGGGGACGGAAACAGGTTGATATAACCCAACCAC